GAGTTAACAAAAGGTGATAGATTTCATAGATGATTGATTGGTCATCCACATTACACAAGATGCGTACAAGTAAGGAAGCTAATAACTAAAAGGAGCTGTTTTTACACCTATCATTAATTCCTAATACAGTAAAATTAAACATAAATTCTAAAGCTGATCAAATTCTTCAAGAGCTAGTGAATTTGGTAACAACCTTTGTGCCTAAACTCTAAAGTTGATCTCTAGTGGAGTGTTTTTCACTTGTTTCTTCTAAATATTTTGAACTTATTTTACTTTAAAATTTTCGACGCCATTTTATGCTCATGTAATATTTAATTAATATTTTGAAGTTCTAATGGAGCCAAATTCACAAATAATCATTTTTAATCAATTGATTGAATATTATCTTGAAAATTTTGAATAAGAAAAGAGGGAAGAAGAAAGAAGCTTGGGGTTAGGGGAGAAAGATTCAATCAATTTATTTTTTAATGGGTCTTCTAATTGGGTTTGGGTCATGTTCACTACAATGGGTGGGCAGGAGAAAATTAAATGGGTTGAGATTTAATTTATCCAATAAGAAAATGACATGTAATAAATAATAATAATAATAATAATATTTTTTAAAAAAGTGGTTGTTAGTTTTAAGGGTAGAGATGGACCAAAAAGGTAGATAGAGGGGTATTTTTAGCCCAATAGATGAATGAGGAGATTTTTAGACCTTTTCAAATAGTTCAAGGGTATTTTTGGCCCTTTTCCATAATTTAAATGGATCTCAACCATAAATTATTATATAGTACACATGGCATGAATCTATAAAGTCATTGAACATTACTTGACCTAATTATACTTGACCGAATCTTTATCCTAAATTTGGTCCTTGTTATTTTTGGTCAAGTATTTTCACCTTCAATTAATTTAGTATAACTTACATAAATTTCATAGTGTAAAACCTAAATTACATCATATCCCTACTCTTTTCTATTTTACAAAAATCCCTTAAAATATTTGCCATACGAATACATAATTGGCTGTCCGGATACAGTAATTGTGATACATTATATATATGGTTGTTGCGCTTATAAATGGAAACAGAACATAAAATCAAATTAAAATCCCATAATTTATGCCATTCAGTTCCTTTTTACTGTGTTAATCAGAGAAACACATATCCTAAAATAACAAATCAATTAAAAATTCAAAATCCATCTTTATCTTTATCCCTATTTCTACGAAGAAACTTTCGAGTAAGATTCAAAAAATTTATTAAAAATTTGATAAGATACATAATGAATATTTTGATTTTTGACTGACACTCTCGAAGGAAGAAAAAATCAAAGGTAGTAGCTTTTGGGTTCTTCTAATTCTACACAAATCTCAGTATGGACGATCGTGTCTGGGTTTCTTTGTCAACTTTCTTGGTATCTTTATTTTTGTGCTGGTGGTTGCTTACTATTGTGTGATGGCAGATCCTAAATACGAAGGCAATTGAAAGTTGTTATTTTATAATTAGCTTGGGCAAAAATAGTTATGTTTATTTACATAACTTCAATTTTCGAGTTAAAAGATCGGATAAAAAAAGGTATGCAACACATATTCATGTGCTTTAATCATTGTTTTTCATTCATGAATTTGTATATTGATCCATAAGTCACGACACATTACTGATTAGAACTTTATACATTAAAATTTTGACATATATGTTATGGGTTTGCAGATGTGTGAGTTACTGTACTATTAATATAAAGTATCAGATACATGTGAATTTCTTTTTATTTTTTTAAATTTGTATATGTACATATTAATCATGATACATTACTGATTTCAACTTGATTCAATTCTAGTTTGATGTATATGTAATGAATTTTTATAGATGCGAGTCAGTATGTTGTTACTATCAGATACATGTGAATTTTTATTTATGTATCAGTATATGAATTTCTTTATCAATATATTGAGGTATGTATCAATATATAAATTATCGTGTATCTGGAGTTAATTATTAGTATAAATTATAACAACCACATATTATAAGTACTAAATAACATCATATCCATTCTAGTTTTCTATTTACCAAAAATCCCTTAAAAATGATGTTTGCGGGATACATAGCGTTGTGCACGAGATACATTAGGTTTGATACATTTCACATAGCGGGATGCATAGCGTTGTGCACAGGATACATTAAGTTTGATACATTCCACATGGCGGGATACATAACGTTGTGCACGGGATACATGCGGGATACATAGTGTTGTGCACGGGATTCATAACGTTTGATACATTCCACATAGCGAGATACATAATGTTGTGCATGGGATACATGCGGGATACATAGGTAAAATAAGGGATTTTTGAAAATTTTGAAATAAGTAGGGATAAATGGATATTAAGGTAAGTAAAAGAGTGTAGTTAAGTAATTTGTCCTAATTATTATTAGGTTGTTGTGTATCTTAAATTGAGTTGATTGATATGTAATGTATCTCTAACTTTTAAATGTGCGCAAGTTGTTCCATCTTCTAAATTTATTTATTCAGTGTATAAAGGTGGACGACGATACATTGTTTGCCTTGAGAGAAAAATATGTAACTGTGGGAGATTTCAGCATGATGAGATACCTTGTACGCACGCAATTGTCATTGTGAAGAGCAAAAATATTACAAAGATACATCCCTATTGCTCTGATTACTACAAACCAATTGCATTAGCAAACACGTATGAAGTTCCAATGATTTTAATGCCAGATAAGGACGATTGGTCAGTACTAGAGTTTGTTTTGGAAGAAATTGTCTTGCCACCTAGGTACAAAAGGATGCCTGGACGACCAAGGAAAAGAAGGAAAAAAATCTAGATGAAAAGATGAGCACAAACACAAACTGTTGTGGACGTTATGGACAAAGAAGGTCACAAGCGATGAACTTGTACTTTCGAAATTGTACTTTCTTTCCGAAAGAAGATTGACAAACTCTTTTTTGGGACTACTATTATGTTTCAAACATTATTTTGAGATTATAGATTTTCAGTTTGTGCTTTTCAATTTTTACCTTGATAAAACATTACAATTTACTATTTGTCGGTGAAATTTTGATACAATAACTGAAATGTTAAGATTTTCAACCTTGTGTTAATTTTTTGTAACACATTATGTTTCATATATCTTTTCTTAAAATAATGTATCATTAACTATTTGATAATAATGTACTAGAGATTGTGTTTGTGGAGATGGTACAACTCAATATGGTTCAGATTTATTTTTATATAATGTATCATGATCTAGTTCTAAAATGATGTATCTGATACAATAAGGTTGAGAAAAATAGTATACAAAATGAAATAAAGTGTATCTATGTATCACAGTAAGTAAGAATTAATTTTTCAATTAGATACATGAATGAATTAGGAACTAACTACAACTAATTATTCAATGTATCAACATAAATCAATACCCAACTAACTAAAACTAAATTATCAAATAAATACATAATTGAATCAGCAATCAAGTTATAAATTACATTACATTGGTTACGTGTCAAAATGTATTAGCAATTACTAAGACGAATGAGAAGATTTTTTTTATTTTTTTTACCCAAGCTTGCAAATCTACTAAACTCGTGAAAAACGATGACGGGCAAATTTTTTGAAATAGTTCTTATATAACTTTGTCAATAACGACTGAAATGTGATGATTTTTATATATAAGAACAATTAAAATGGCCTGACTGAAAAAATAGAACACTACAACAGTAGAGTAAAGGTCCTTTTGCAGTCGATCAAAACTGCAACTAGCGAGAAGCCAGAGACAAAAAATTCAGTGATTTAAAATTGATTGGTACTAGAGAGAGAAACCTTTTGAAATTCAAATTGAAATGAAGGATGTAACTGATCAGATTATAGGAGTGAAATAAGGGAGAGATTGAAGGAGCGAAAATAGGAGAGGAAACGTGGGTTTGTTGTGTTAGGAGTAATGTATCGGCTGGCTTGAGATTTGGGAAAAAAATAAGAGATTTTGAAAATATTTTAAAATGGTAGGAAATAATGGAAATTATGGAAAATAAAGGTGTGTATATAGATAATTTTTCCATTAATTTATTATGGTTTTTACTTCTTGGACAAATTATAGTAAGTTGGTAATCAAAGGTTTAAATTAATCATAATACATCACTATTTCACCTGCTTCCAATTGATGGTCAATAATAATATAAGAAGCAAGATTTATTACTAGTTTTTAGTGTTTATATCAAACTATTAAATTCTCTTTTTGTTTCATAATAAGTGATATTTTTAGCTTGAACATACCATTTATAAAATTACTTACTCCTAAAAAATAAGAAGAGTTTCTATTTACTTATAATTAAGTGCCTTAAAAAAGAAGCAACTCTTTAATGAATTCTTGATTAGGTAAAACTTAACCTATTTAAATGAGGATAAAATTGATAAATTACCCCTTTTGATTTTGTGATAAACTAATTATTTTAAAACAAAATGAAAATACGACATCACCAATTTTGAAAGAAAGAAAGTACAAAATAAATGTAATTCAACCACAAGTATGTGACTTTATTATGATTAAATGACAAAATAAATTATTTCATTTAATATAAATATTGAATGACTTGACTTCCCATTCTGATGCACATCAAACAAAGGAAGCAATTCTATTAAAATATTGCTTCCTCTTCCATTTTTGTTAAAAAAAAGTAATAAGTTATATTTTAATTTATTATTTTCTAGGTAAGAAAAAAAATCTATTTTGTAGGACCAATAAATAATTAATCTTATTAATCAAAAATAAAATTAATTTGCCATTTGGGTTGGTAGCACATGCGAAGGAGTTTTGCCAACTCAAAACACCAATCTCATTGAGGAGTTCTGTCCAACCTGTTTTTACATTTATATCCTCAAGTTTCACATCTCCTTCACCACTCGATATCGTAAATTTAGTCATGATATAAGGGTAATAATGGAATAAAAAAGTTAATTTGCTAAGATTTCCTTCCACCAAAGTCTCGAAAATATTATTATTCAAATCTCATAAGATTACCTAAAACAAGCCCAGAAAATAATTAATTTCATTTTCCTCATTGTCAGGTTCTTCGGCGCTGACTAAAAATCTCCGATCATTCTCAGTGAAGAACAAAACAATAAAAATAAAACTCTAGATAAGTTTGGGTAATTGGTTTAGACGTAGCCATGACCACCGGTGAATTCATCAATATTTATCCCACAGAGCTCAAATTTCCATGTAAGCACATAGTTTTTTTAATTGTTTGCTATCTTAAGTTTCTTTTTCCTAAGATTTTATCGATTTTTTGTTCAATTTATTGATGGGTTTCGCTTAATTAATCGAGTACCAATGTGGGTTTTATCCCTTTTGATTTCTTGGCGAATGTTAACCATTAGGGAGAATCATGCTTATTTAGCTGAGTTTTGATTAATTTGGGTATTGATTTTTTTGTTGTTCGTGGGCTTGTATTGAAAAGTTGAGTTGAGGAAGCAGAGTGCATGTTCTATGCAATTAAGTAACAAGACTGATCAATACATTGCATTCAAGGTAACTAATTTGGAGATTTATTAGCTTAATTTAATCAACCCAAGTTATGTTAGATGTGTAAAATGTTGAGTTGTTCTCTTCTGTGTTAGAAAGGTTAAGACGACCAACCCCAAGAAGTACTGTGTTAGGCCTAATGCTGGTGTTGTTTTGCCTGGATCTTCATGCAATGTCACAGGTAACATTTCCTTTCTATTTGTTCGTTGATTGCGCCATTTGAATTACCCCTTCTGTCCCAATTTATTTGACGCGTTTCTTCTTTTGTGATGTCCTAGTATGGAAGTTAAATTAATATCTTTTAACTCAGTGTCTTGTGAAATGCAATTATATAGAATTTGAAGGAGATTGTATTAGATACAGGCAACAAAATGTAGTTGAATTGATTTTTTAATATATAAGTTGTGGTGGATTTTGTAGTTACAATGCAAACGCAGAAAGAGGCACCTCCTGATATGCAGTGTAAGGATAAGTTTCTAATTCAGAGTGCTATAGCACCCACTGGTACAACTAATAAAGATGTCACTCCAGAGATTGTGAGTTGCTTACAACCATTAAGCAATGTTTTTCTGGCTCTTTTAGTATTATGGTTTACTGAAATTGGTATTTTCCATTTGCTTCTAGTTCAATAGGGAGGATGGAAAAGTTATTGATGAATTTAAACTGAGGGTTGTTTATGTTCCTGCAAACCCTCCCTCTCCCGTGCCAGAAGGGTCTGAAGAAGGTGGTTCTCCCAGGACATCGTTGACTGAAGATGATAGTAAAAGCACTTCACTTCCAGAAGCAGTAAGTGTCTGAATTTATATTTTTTTTGTGATTCTTCCCCAACTATGAGCTAAGCTAAAGTTCTCTTCTTGACCTTAATATTAGGTGTCACGATCGTTGGAGGAGTCCAAAGCAAAATCATCCCCTTCAGAGGTGAAACATATTGCTTTCACATAAAAAAACCATTACATCAATCTGTGCATGCATGCTGTAGACCTATTGGTTCTGTATTATCGTAGAAGCTGCACTGTCAAGTTTACCTAATTCTTTAATATGTTTCTAGGAAATGAGGTTATGGGAAGAGAACTATTCACTTTTGATTTAACTGTCATTAGACTAATGGTTCTAGGAAATAAGGTTAAGGGAGGCAAACTATTCAGTTCTGAAATGGATTTCTAAACCGACCTTTGGAGAAGTGGTATTCTCATATTAATATTTTTTAAAACATAATGATCCTGACCTGACAGTGCAGTCAAAAATATTCCTTTCATAGTGCCGTATCAGCAGCTTGTTGCCTAACAGAATGGATGATAATTTTGGGTTTCTATATTGAAGTTTAGGTGACTTCACATCAACAACATACCCAGTGTAATCCACAAGTGGGGTCTGGGAGGGTAGAGTGGATGCAAAACCCTTACCCCTACCTTGTGGAGGTAGAGAGACTGTTTCTGAAAGATCCCGGCTCAAGTGCTTCTTCATAAATTTAGCAAAACTAAATGAACCTTTCCTCTTGTTTTCTGAAAACCAGATGCCTCCTCCCCTGCAACTGAAAGTTAAAGGTGAATGCTCGGTAGATTTGGTACAAGCTGATAGGTTCCTGCTTTTCCCATGCCAGATATTTGTGAAGTTCATCTACCGGTTGAACCCTGATCCGTCTGGTATCTTTCTTGGTCGGTTTCAGCTCCACAATTTCTCTGCGTCGGCACAAGATTTCAGAATTCTTTATGTGCCATTTCAGCGTCTTTTCTGAACCTCTTCCTTTAACCTTCTTAAACGAGTGCAAAGAAAGAATACTTTCTCTTTCATTCCGAAAAGAAGTTAATTTTGCAACTCCCGATTTGTATCATTTTGTTAGAACTGGACGGCAAGTTGAGAATTTACTTAAATGCCTGATCATAATAGACATGGTGATGGTGAAACTTGCACTTTTGGGACCTGAGAGAGGGCTGGTAATATAGGTCAAGAGTGGGAGAAGTGGAGGTCGATAGCAGGGCTGGATATGGTTAAGAGAAGGGATGACAAGGTTGAGGGAAGGAGGGGGTTGGAAAGGTTTGCTGGGGCATGGAGTAAGTTGGGAAAATGGAGCCTTGCTGGGCCATGAGAGCTGTGGACAAGGGAGGTTAGTGACCCACCTAGAGATATGAATGGGTTGGGTCAACCCATTAAAGGTTGAAACCAATCAGCTTTGGTTTTCTTCATTTTTCGTCTCTTAAAATTTAAGCAAATTCTAATATATTGTAAGGTTAAATTAGAATGAAATTTATAATTTCTGTTGACATGATTGTGGTTTAAAACATGTAGTATAAGTTGTGGGCTGTATCTCAAAGGAGTATTCAAATAAGCATGGAGGTCTAAGTAATTCTGCTCTTCCTATGATACCTCCTTACAATTAAGTCTATCTGCTTATCAATACTGTCACGATATGCTCTCCTTTCCTTTGCCCTCCAGAATTCTTTCCAATGCCACTTTTTTAGCTTTCCATTGGGACTCCTTTTGGAAAATTTCCAAGATGGATAACTTTAACCAAGAACCCCAATACCGATTTCAGCTCTTTCTCCAACATTTGTCATTATGACTACCACCCAAATGTTGACAATAGCATGTTCACAGGTTAATTTTCAGAATCAAGTCCCAAGTGTCAGGTAACCTGGAGTATTTAGTTTGCTTTACGTACTTATCTCTGACCCATAACAGAAGGATAATAAATCTTCCCGAATTCATTAAATCATGCCTAACATTGAGTCTATCCAATACACACATTTTCACTTTTTGTAATTTAGGCAAGGTATATATTTATTGGAATTTGGATATCTTTCCCTAATGTGAATAAAACTTTACAGAGGTTTGTCCACAGTACAATAGTCCACATGGCTATTCAAGATTTGACACATTTCGCTGTGTTTGTGATAATGGCAAATGGGTTGATTTATGTTTTTGGACATATGGAGAAGGCCTTTATCTATGAGTGCAGAAAAGGCTGAGATGAGAAGTTAGAAAGAAGTAATAAGTAAGGTTAACACATTGTGGGACCACAGAATTTATGTAGTTCCAGATGCAATGAATAATTTTACCTAATGTTAGGATAATGAGCAAACATTTAAGAATCTTGTCTTCGTACTTCCTTTTCTGTTTTTTTTTTTACAAAACAAAGATAAGACTATAATGGTGTTAAAGGCTGGGACTTGGGAGGACGAAATCATGATTTATCATGTTCTGGAGTTAGTTTCTTTGAAAATAATTGCTGATCATCCAGGTACTGTGCTGATAACAAGTAGAATGGTCTATCCTTGTGTTAGATTCTGGTCATTCTAATTAGAATATCATGAGTGCTCTTTCTCTTCCCTTCCTTTTTTAAAAAACCTTTTTCAGATTTTCTTAAATCATCAAACACTTAGCGAGCTCTTGACATAATCTGATTAAATATAATATTTATATGGGCATTTTATTGATATATTGGAAAAGAAGATCTACTTTTTTAATTTTGTCGATAGAATCCACACAAGAAATTTTGAAAATAAAAGTGATACTTGTAGATGAAGAAGCTAAAAGTTAACCAGGTAACAATGAGATATTTGTGTGAATTATTAACAGGAAACTGCTGGAGATACTCAATCACCTTTATCTCTTATAAAAGTAGTCAAATAACTAGTTATAACTTAAGAGCTATTGACATTAATAAAACATAAACATGAGAAAATTGCAAGAGCCGGAATTATTCTATCGAGTTATTGACATTAATAAAAACAAACATGAGAAAATTGTGACCGGAATTATTCTATTGAGTAATTATTGAACTTTTTAACCATAAAAAGATGTCTTCTCAGTTTTTTCGCTCTTGTATATTTGGGAAAAAGACCATATGGGCATTGTGTAATTTTGTGACATCATCTTTAGCCTTCAACCGAGGCCCAACGTGAGTTAATGAGTCTGGTGCTTCCTGTTACCCCAATTTGATTTTGTTGATCATCAAGGACATATTGACATCCACAATTTTTCAAGTTGAAGCTTAACATGTATGATCTGTAGTAGCAGCTAGCACAATTTTCTTCTGTTGATTTCTGCTGGGTGATTGAATATCCTTACTTCGTACAACTACTTCTTGGCACAATGTATTTCAACTGAAAGCTGTTTTTATCAAGTTAGTTTCTGAACAATCTTTAACAAATACTTTCACTTTAGGCATGGTCTTTGATTTCGAGGTTGACTGATGAGAAAGCTTCTGCTCTTCAACAAAATCAGAAATTATGTCAGGAATTGGTACGTTTAGTGACCTTATGAAATTATGAGTCTTCCAGTTTTTGACTTGTCACTTTTTGAATTTGCTTTATCGAATTCTACTCTTTCCCCATCTCTTGGTTAAAGTTCATTTATTATTTGCTTGATTGTGGCTGGATGAAAGTATCTTTGTTTTGATGAATATGATAAAAGAATGATCTATTAGTGAATAATAGTGATGATGCTTCAAGTAGCTTCTACTTTTGCCACTTTATTCCTTGTGATGGTGATGTTCTCTCTTCGTAAAATACTGGTTTGAAATGATGGAGGGAATTCCTATTGCTTGTTGGACGTGAAGACATATCTGGAGTGTAGTGCATGCATTCTGTTTGGTGAAATTTCCTTGTTTGCCCTAGTTGGAGGTAATAAATTTGTTAAACCATGGGTGATATTAATTTGAGATTTTCTTACTTGTTCACATATGGAACTATAGAAGTTTGAGTGAAATGGCTGTTTGTAAGCTACCACGGACACTATCGTCATCGGAATTTTTTTTCGAGTGAAGCGGTGGTTAGTGGTTGGTACCTATGCATCGCCTTTTTCTTGACCATATATGTTACCATAAATAGCCCCTCTATCCCACAAAGGTAGGGGTAAGATCCTACCCTACCCAGAGCCCACTCATGGGATTACACTGGGTATGTTGTTGTTCTTGTAGTAATAGGTGGTTGGAAAGAGGGGAAGGAACCAGAGTTCTGAGTGGTTTCAGTTGTGAGTGGTTATGATGAGGAGGTGACTTTATATACATGCAGTTAAACGAGTTGTTCTGGGGAGTACTCTTGGGACGTTTTTTGTGCTTTAAATACTAGTATAATTACCAACTTGGGAACACATGCTAGCAGTTGGATGTAATATTGCTTGTGTATTCGCTTGAATAGTGTGATTGGGAAGAACATTAGTTTTCAACTTTTTCTTTTTGATCTATTTCTTTCCAATACAAATAAAAATCTTATCATCTCTGAGATTGAGTTGCACAGTCCATGCCGTAGTTTGAAATGTGATATTTCCTTAGCTAATTGCACATCAAATTGATTTAGAAGGTGTGATCTTTACTCATGAGAAAAAGATAGTGTGATATTATATACTTGGATAAAGGGTGCCTACAGAGTCCCTATTCCCTACAGAATGAAGGAAATATAATGAAGCATGTAGTTCCAGTTAAGACCATAGAATTGTAACCCATGCCAAAATTATCATGTCATTATAATTAGTTGTTTTATATTGTGCATGAATCTATGGTCCTGTGGTGTAACTGATGGTCAATGGTGCAATCAAAATGAGCAGCATATTCTGAAGCATGTCCATGAGGTTTTTATTTTGATATTATTTTTTGTACCCTCTGGAAGGGATTCCAAAAATCAGCAATTGTAATTGGAGAAGAGAAAATTATTAGTGTCCCAAGAAACCTTAATATTTTCTAGAACTGGTTTTGGAAATATGTTATGATTATTTTCCTTGGATGATTGTAAATACAGCTTCTTACTCTACAATTTTGCAGGAGCTGGTAAGACAAGAAATCAACAAAAGCAATGCTGGTGGCGTCTCAATGTTGTTTGTCGTGCTGATTGGTCTTATAGGTCTTTTGGTTGGGTATCTGATCAAGAAGACATAGTTGGAAGGAGATACTCTTTGGTTCATTAGTTGCGTGCCCAGAAAAACTTAAACGGCATTCGAGAATTCTATTTTTCCCCCTTTCTCTTCACAGACTTGTGCATTAGAAGTAGGTCATTATGCAGTCATCTATCTATAGTGTAAAAATGTTATTAGTCCATTATGGGCATTCGAAGACTTGATTCGATTTGATCTAGGGGTAGGTAATGGATACAACCTTCTTATTCATTTGACTTATTTGATTCTTGTGAACAAATATTCTTCAAAAAATGCTTTTATGCTTTTCTTGAATTATAAACTTTATATTCTTTTGCAGGTTAATTGCTCGAGTTTATTTGAACAGAATGTGTGTACAAGATCACATAAATTCAGAAAAAAGTAAAAAGTTTGTGAAGAAACTGAATTGCTAAAACATGGAATTTCAAACTGTACTAGGACAAATAAAAAGAGGAAACTCCCTTGATTGTGGAATAATAACTCAAAAAAACCAAATAATCAAAAACTATTGTTGTTTTCGATCGTCAAAGAAAACTGGTTTTTGTTTGTTGGATTTGCCATAAGGATTATAGGTCTCTTCAAGATTTTTGGCCTTGACAATAGCAGCCTCCTTAAATTGGTTGAAAGTTGGAACATCATAAGTATGACACAAATATACACCAAAAGCAGTGCCCGCCATGAATGTTACTGTCGTCCCCATTAATCCCATCTTCAATTGAATTGTTGAAGAGATGGTGTTTCTTTGTTTTTGATTTTTTAGTTGCAAAATTTTGGACTTTGATTTATAGGAACGTTTGTTACGTTATCTTGTTCTCCAAGATTATTTTTTTTTGACCCCTTCTCCAAGATTCCAAATCCAAAGTAAATTAGACAACTATTATTTGTTTTGTTTGTGTCAAATTGTGACTCAGATAGTTTGTAGTAAGTTGAACTATTTTTTTTTTTAATGGGGCAACGAAACATAATTAATAGTTGAACAAGTCAAAATACCATGTAATTTAAGTTTATACAGCACAAGAACCATTAAAAGAAAATAAAAATTGATTACTAATTTAACTTGTACACAAACAGCAAAGTGACTAGCTAGAAAATATTTTCCCTTAGATTACATTTTGCATGGACTGACTGGAATCTTGATAACTTGATCATCGTGTTGGGTAATATTCTAAGAGTAAATTTCGCATATTGCCACAAGAAAAAACTTAATTAGGCTCCTTACCTATAGTTTACATATTTACGTGATGTAGCTACAATTTTATTGGTAATAGGCAAGCGTAGTTGTATAATTCACTATTATTTGGTATTTTATACAAAACGAAAATCCAAACTTTAAAAAAAATAATGACAGTAATTTCGATTGGAAAAAGGTAAATAATCCCTTAATTCATGGAACAGTATCTCTTTAGACTTTCATACCAAATATGACTTTCCTTCCTTCCGTAAATGTATAAATTGATTTCTATTTGTTATTGTATAAATTATTATTGATTGATTCAATTCATTGATGACTGTAGTTTATGTGGAATTAGTGTTTGTATAAATTAGTTATTTTCATACATAATTGTATAAATAGATTCTTCAAAGGTGGTTTGTATTTATATATTTTGTATATGTATAGGTTTGTTTTATTTTTGATGGAATTAGTGTTTGTATATGCATAATTAATTGGTGACTGTAGTTTATGTGAATTAGAGTCGATATAAATTAGCTATTTACATTTGTAATTGTATAAAATGAGTAGTGACACTGGCAACTGATTTATATTTGTATATTTTGTATATGTATAATTCAGATATTCTATTTTATTGGTGGAATTAGTGTTTGTATATGTATAATTGATTGATAATGATTTATTATGTGAAATTATTGTTTGTATCAATGAGCCATTTTCGTCTGTAATTGTATAAAAGGAGTAGTGACAATTGATTTGTACTTAAATATATGTATTTGTATAATTCATAGCTGATTTGTACTTATATAATTGTCATAATATCTTCCAAAGCTATTTTGGATGTTTCTTCATCCATAATTTTGATTGTATCTAATTATAAATCTGAAAAATCATATGAAATTGCAGTTATATATAAATACAAATCAAAATGATAAGAATGAAACCACAAAAAAGGAAGAAACTTAACTGCATAACAATTGTCCTGAAAATCAGGAAGCGCGATTTGAGAGGGAAGAACTGAAATTTTCAAATTATGAAATCAATTTGTGTTGAGGGATTTAAGGAGAAAATAAGGTAAATGATTATGAAGAAAGAGAAGGAATCATTTGTATATATGGAAAGGGGCAGCTACACGCTTATACAAACAAAAAAGGTAAGCAACGTAATTATAACCAAAAATTGGTGGCGAGTGGTAATTAAAATAAACTCTAGCTATAATGACTAATTAACTAGTATAAGTTTGCTTAATCGTGTAATTTTTCCATATTCTTAAGCCCCAAATATTGAAGGCTTATTAAATAATTTTTCGAGATTTTAACTATATATTCAAATTGTTCATGGTTTTATTGGTTCATTAGTTGCAAAACTGTTTTAAAAAGAAAAAAAGGAAGGAGGAATTTTTTTTATATATAATATCACCCTACAACATATACATGTGTAATGTGTTAGAAAAAGTACTCATTTTTGGCTTTTTGCCATTGACCCTGTACCATAGGGCACAACTAAGCAATTTATGATAGTGCAAGGAAAATTCGATATTCTATAAATTTAAAAAATTAAAATGTTTTTTTTAAAAAATGACCTTCTATATAATTATATTTAGCGATAGACATTGAGATAGTTAGGTGATAAAACTTTTAAAAATTATTATGTTAATTTGGAATATTTCTCAAATCATTAAGGGGGTGTCAATGGTTATAGTAAAGAAAATTATAATGAGGTTAAGTAGGGCTTGAACACATGACCTCGTTGAGTTTTTGCAACACATTAACCAATAAACTAAACCTTCAACTAGTTTCAAGAGGTGTCAATTTATGTATTTATATTTATTAAACTAAAATTTGACCTCTATATACAACGTAATTTTCCGACGAATGGGTGTCCCTTGACACCCCTAGACAAAGGGTAGGTTCGCCATGCCTATATATACTAATAAAATAAGAATAAAAATATTTTTAAAATGAAATACTCATACTAATGCTGTTTTTTATGTTTCAACATAGATACAACATGAGGGAATTGGCCTCGTCTTTTTACAAAAGATGGTATACAATATAATGACCAAAAATAAAATCACAAGAATTCTATTTTTATTTTTTGTTCCGTTTGTATAAAAAGAGTTATTTTTAAGTATTATTATTTTTTAAAAAAAAGTTATAAAGTGTCTTATAGATTGAGAGGGTATCAATACAAAATAATGAAATCGATGAAAACTTCAATATACACAAATAAATTGACGAAATCGGTGAAAATTTCTATATTCACAAATAGATGGAGAGGGTATCAAGGAAATCACCTTGAAAGAGGGAGGGTAGGTATCAATATAAAATAAGAAATCACTATATTTAATAAATTTTATGAAAACACAACTTATTTGATTGAGGATTTTTCTTTTATTTTGTATATTTATTTTTCATTAATTTTTGTTGTACCTGCACTGATTTTATTTGATTGTTTTAATAATTTTAACTTTGTGTGATCTAGTTTTGCTGTCATCAATTCTAGTTTTCTTATTATGTGACTCTGTTCCATTCTTAGCTCTCCATTTGTAATGGAGGGATTAAAGTATTTGTTTAATTAGTATTTACTAGTTGAATTCTCATGATGTTTTCAAGTTATATAATATAATAACAAAATCGAGAGTAAGCCCTTCATTATGATATAAAATAAGAAGAAAAGATAATACATCTACCATGGATAAAAAGTAGTAACACACTTTTTTGGAACCTAGAAGAGACCAAAAATAATGCAAAAAAAGGAAAATATTTGTATGAAGATTGTTGACAATAACAATAAAAACAAATAATAATTTATTATCTTGAAAAAAAAACCCACCTCCAACTTAGTAAAATACTTAATTTGGTAATGTCGTCTCTACCCCTTACCCATTGATGGGGTCGGGTCTGGTTTAGTTGGGCCTGGGCCTCGTTTGTATCCATCAAAATTCTGTGTTTTACGGTGGGCCTTCTCAAGCTCCCTAACCTTCACATTTGTAGATTGGGCCCACTCATTGATTTTGGGCACTGTATAGTTTTGTGCAATATATACTCCACACAGAGTACCCAACATGAATCTGAAGAGGCCCATCTTTTACTTATTTGTTTGTTGAAATTCAACCAAAGATTTTTCTTTTAATCGCCATGAGGTGATGGATGATTTCTATATATATAATTACTTAGTTCAATATCTTATCCTCCAAGTAATATTTTTATAATTTGTTTTTATTTAAATGTTACCCCTTCTCCAAGAGTCAAATCCCAATTCTCAATCAACTCGTACCATTGTGAAGATATTAGATTTTGTTTTTCATTATAATTGATTTTGGGGTTATTGGCACTTGTGACCTTGTTTTGTGCTAATCTTTAATTTATGACTCTAGTAACAAATAAAAATTGTGAGGCATAAATATATATATTTTATATCATAATTTATCTCATGTTGTGGTTCCAGTTTTTAAAGAACTTGTTCTTCATTAGGCATAAGTTCAATTGTTGATGACAAAAATTTTAAAACAATCCATTAAGGGATATTTGTGTCATTTAAACTATTGAATTACCACTTGACTACAACGAATCTTACTTCTACCGTCTTATTTAACTTCAATAAATATACAAGAGCAGAGCTCCAGTTAAATTGTAATCAAACATTTCAATAAGTTTTCCACCTAACTAGATTTTGTTTTGGTAAGTTTCGTCAAATAAATAACAAATCATATTTCTAGTCAAATATTGTAAAGGAAAGGTAACAAGATTTATATTTCATACATAGTTACAAGAACTTAAATACAAACAAACACTCTCACTCTCAAAACACTCTTAACTAGATTTATATAAGAAATTTAAATTATTCTTTATTTTAGAGATATCTGAGTCCCCCAACATAAATAACGAATCACTCTTGACCACCTTCATTTGGGTTGAAATTCTCCGGCCCATTGTTTTTATAAGGCTTATTGTTGAGATCTCTGGGCCTGACCCAGCTAGGATGAACAGCGTTATTCTTGTTCGGTTTATCACGAACTTCTTTAGGATCCATGGGCCTGGCCCAATCTTGATCGAGAACTTTATTATTGTTTTGTTCTTCATTGGTATCTAAAGTCTTGGGCCTATTGAGATTCATGGGCCTCGGATGGACAATTTCATTGTTCTCTTCTTCACCAGCTTCATTACCATAGAAATTCTCGGGCCTCCGATAGTTACTCTCATCATACTTGGCCCGGAACCAACAATCATGGGCCCGGTGACCTTCATTAGGATTGAAATTCTCGGGCCTGCGATAGGCCTGTTCAAGCTCACGGGCCTTGACACAACCAGAATGGGCCCAGTCACCTATTCTTGGAACTCTGTAGTGTTGGGCAACATAGACTCCAAAAAGAGAGCCCAAAATGAATGTAAAGCCTCTTCCACGGCCCATTTATGATTGTAGATATTAATTGAAATTTTGTTAATTGTCTTTGTGACTTAGTTACTAGTTTTGTATGAGAGCTATCGTATTTATATCAATTGGGAAATACATGAAACTGTTTCTAAATTGGATATCTTATCTTCCAAGCTCATCTTATTTATTTTTCTACTTAAAATAATGGTCATAATAACCCCTTCTCCAAGAGTCAACTTTCCAACTCATAGTAAATTAATGAAGGGAAATCTTTGACTTTCAACATGTATATGTTGGTGATTGGATAATTAACATACTAATACAGATAAGGAAGGAGCTGATAGTGATGTGATTTGTATTAGTTTAGATTTTTATAAATAAGATTATCAGTAAAAAGTCGATGAATTCATTTCTATCTTATAATCCGTGGACCCAATAAAATTAAGCGATTTATTTTTATTCATTGATATCTTGTGGACAAAGTAACTCAGCAATTGTGTTGATGAGAGCTAGGCAAAAGGTATCTTAGTTGTGAGGGTGCGTGCAAATTTAGTCCTAATACCATGATTATAAAAAAGTAAAAAAATACTACTCCCTCTGTCCCAATTTATGTGGCACTTTTCGTTTTTCGAGAGTCAAACAATTTAAGTTTGACCGGGAATTTGCACATAGAATCTTCATTTTTAAAAAAATGAAATTTATATATTTGTAAACTACGTAAAAAGTACTATTAGTCACAATAATTGATAATTCAAAATGTTTAAAAGATCTATGAAAAATTTACGGTCAAAGATAGACTTGTTTGAATCTCGAAATCCGAAAAGTGCCACATAAAATGGGACGGAGGGAATAGTAATTATATTTTTCCTTTTCTTTTCTCTAGTTGTGAGGACAAGAACTAAATAGTCAAATTAGAAGAAAAATAAAGAGAAGGACTCGATGAGAGTCGTATCTTACCTAAGTACTAAAGTCTATAGAACATCTCTTCGGACTTCAAATATATGTACTTTTTAGTGATGAATCTAAGATTTAAAAGTTATATGATTTACTGTTATCTTTAATGTGAGTCTATCACCACGGAGGTTGAATATGGTGTCAGTCTAATCTATTTTGGATTTTGATCAAGTAAAAGAGATTTTGTAGTTAAGAAAATAAAAAAAGACTTTTGGTTCATATGGTATTAAATTTATTTTGAAAATGAGATATTTTTAAATTAATCTTAAATATGTCATGTAAAAAATTGAAATTAAAGAATTGTCAAAAGAAACGAAAACATCTTTTTTGAGATAGACTAAGCAAGAAAGTAAGACAAATACATTAAAACGGGAAGGAATATTAAGAAGACGACAAGAGACTAATTAAATGTAAAGAAAGTGAAGGAAGCTACGAGAATGTTAAAGTGGAAAAAAAGAAAACGAAATAAGAACAAGATTCGAACCCTGGTTTAAAATAACTAATAAACATTAAAACGCTTTGTTGAACCGGTGTTCCAGCAAAAGTTTTGTTACTAGCTCCCACTTTCATTTAGTTTTATAGTAGCGTTATTTTAATTAAGGAAAAATTAGAGAAATCCCACCTTTTAGTTTACTTATTACCATTATCCCTTATAAGTTTTACAAATCTCCAAAATCCCTCATTTTCGTGCATCAAATTAGTGTATCAGCGCATATATTATTGTATCTCGCACATCAAATTAATGTATCTACGCTTATATTATTGTATCTCGCGCATCAGATTAATGTATCAACGCTTATATTATTGTATCTCGCGCATGTATCAACGCTTATATTATTGTATCCGTTTGAGAAATTTCTGTAATTATAAACTTTTAAGGAATAAATTGTAATTTTATCTTAAAAGTATGTGATTTATGTAATTTGCCCTTTAATTAAACATACACCTATAATATATATTTTTAATGACATAAACATCTCCATCAATAGGCTACTACTCAAATATCTACATTTGCCTTCTTAGTAATCAATTCCATATGAATAAAGCAGAAGAATTCGAAAATCATCTCGTTAAATCACATTGGCGATGGTGCGAGACATCAAAATACATATATATATATATATATATATATTGGAATCTAAATTTGAGATAACCAATTGATTTTGTAGGACTTGTAGCCCTACAATGCACATGGTTATATTATATAGTTGGCCAAAAATGACATAACATGCTATAATTGTGAACTTCATTCACTTCCAATTTATTCCTTATCTTCATTTCATACAAATATCTATGTTACCCCCACACTATCCTCAGAACCATAATTGACCACTAATTAGGATACCTATTGTACCCTACAAATTGAACCCTTATAAATCCCAAATGATCAACCTAAATTTGGTACACAAGTTCATCAAAATATTTGTACAAGCTTAGCTAGCTAGTTAATTACTAAAAATGTTTGGATCTAAGGTAATTTCTTTTTTAATTTTGTTCAATGTAGTGTTTTTCACTTGTGCTTCATCTCATAATATACCATGCCCTCCAACACCAACAAAAGCACCATCCAAGTGCCCCAAAGATACCCTAAAGTTTGGTATTTGTGGAGATTGGCTTGGGCTAGTTCATGAAGTCATTGGGGCAAAACCAAGTAGCAAATGTTGTGCTCTTTTAGAAGGAATAGCAGATGTTGAAGCTGCTTTGTGCTTATGCACTGCCATAAAGGCAAATGTTTTGGGTGTCCTTAAGCTTAAAGTTCCTATTGCCATCAGTGTAGTTCTGAATTCTTGTGGAAAGAAAGTGCCTAAAGGCTTTAAATGTGCTTAATTAGTAGCGTATGCAGGATTTTACGCAAGCAGTGTCGATCTATTATCACAATTCGACTTTGTAAATGAGTTTGAGTCTAAAATTATGTTAGTCGTCTTGAGGCTTTTTTTTTTTTTTACCCTCCCTAGGACTCCCACCCCTTTTGCTCCCGACTCGAACTCGCAACCTTCGGATTGGAAGTGAGGGGTGCTTACCATTCGAGCAACTCCCTCTCGTCTTCGTCTTGAGGCTTTTGTTCCTCACAAATTGTTCTTATTTCCTTTGTATTATTTTCAAGCTTGTATTTGTTTTACTGTATGTATATGTATCGTTCAATTTAAATACATATTATTTTTAAAGCGATGTTAGATAACACCTCTTCTTAAAGGTTGTCCTTCCTGTCATTTATAGTCTTGCTTAATTAACCATTTTGCCATGCCTAATTTTTAATTACTTGCTCTTTTCTTTTAATTCCGCCAAAAAATTATGATTTTTTGGGTCAATTTGGTGCAAACAATGACAGATGTCCATTCATTAATTTCTTAATGATATTTGAGAATGACATACTAGAATAGAATATATACGAGTCCGGAGCCAAAAGGGCGAAAAAAATTATCAAAAATTCCAAAAGGGCACATCAATTTTTTTATAAACCAAAAGGGCAAAATCGCTCGTTACGAAGCGATTTCCCTCTGACACATTATTAACGCCATTGCATGTGAATGTTTGAGTTACAATTAAAAAAAAAATTGCAGGGGGAATTTCGCTGCCTTGTCAGCGACTTTTTTTTTTGGCAGCGATTTTTAAAAAAAAAAAATAAAAATAAAATCTATTAATGCCTTGGGAGCGTTTTTATTAATATATTTTTTTTTGAAAATGGCTGCCTTAGCAGCCTTTTTATTAAGATTTTTTTTTTTTTGAAAATCGCTGGCAGCGTTTTATTTAAATTTTTTTTTTTTTTAAATATCATTGATAAGGCAGCGAAATTCTCCCTCCAATTTTTATTTTTTTTAATTGTAACTCAAGCATTCACATGTAACGGCGTCAATATTATGTCAGAGAGAAATCGCTTTGTCAGAAGCGATTTGCCTGTTTGATTTAAAAAAGATTGATATGTCCTTTTGAAATTTTTGACAAATTTTTTCGCTTATGATTTTTTGGGTCCATTTGGTGCAAACAATGAAAGAGGTTCATTCATTAATTTCTTAATGATGTGAGAATGACATACTAGAACAGAATATATTACTACATATTATTGTTCTACTCAATTAGAACTTGCAAAGGATCTTTTCTGATTTATGTCACCACTGATTTAATTTCATTTACGGATATTGGTATATATATCAACAGCTAGAAACAACAATATAATTGATTATAGATGAAGAGAAAAGCCAAATATAATACAGGAAAATATATTCTTACTACGTAAAAGAAATTAAAATATATACGATAAGACTGCAAGTTCCTATTCAAATTAACGAACGTGTACAAACATTTTACCACCCATTTTTTTTGCCAATCAATACCTACCCCTCTCTAGTCTCTACTCCCATTCTTGTCCTTATTGCTCCTCTTCAACAAACCATTGTATACGTGTCCTAGTCCTGACTCACATATTATGATATGAACAATGTAAAATATCTTCACACAATTAGAATGAATGGTAAATATATAATTGTTAAGTCCCTAGTATAATTTATCTGAGTTACAATTAACTACCTTGACGATATGTAACAAATTCTGATGGAATTATATTGACTACTTGACATTGTATAATTGGGAATATGTGTCTGTTGCCATATATATATCAGCATAGAAAAAATTGTACAATTCTGCTTGGAGACCAAATTCAACAAGAAAAGTAGTACTCTCACTTTTGCAACAATTCATGATTAAGAGGTTATTCAATTTAACATGTGAAAAGTATGGCCCCCATGCAAAATTATGAGAACGTTATAGCTAAGGTATAAGGAAATGCTTGCTTATAAATAGTAATAATACTACAAATTATTAGCTAGACGCATTGAAGAACATGATCCAAAATGCAACTATATACTAATTAATTATAGGCTCCTTATAGGATTGATATGACCATTTCTTAGGATTACTATATGCATGTAAAATTACATTAACAACCAATAGATAATTAAGACTGTTAATTAAAACCTATACTAATTAAGGAGCTGGAGCATATAGTTAAATATGAACTATTCAAGAACTCAAACTCAAATTTCCATTATAATTAAGTAGAATTATATAATATACATTAGATAGAAAACAGTGGTACGTTCGCACTCTAATATGAACTTAGAAATTATAAAAGTTCATGGGATATATATATATATATATCATCCCTCAAAAAGTATAATTAAGAGCCCAACAACTTCAAATTGGGATCAAATTAGTTAATGTACTCAAACATGATGATAAAATGAATTAACTTCCTCCAAAATTCATGTTAGATACTGGATCAGAAAACTAATCATCCGCGCGCGCGGGGCCTGTTAACTAATTGTGAACAGGAGGGTGTGTTCTTGCTGGTAAATAATCCAAGTTAAACTCTGGTGGTGGATCTTCCCTTTTCTGTTGATGAACCCTCCAAGTGACTGAAACTCCATAGTGATGATCATCGTCATCTTTTTCATTATTTTCCTTCACACTTTTATTTGGCTGTGCTGATGACTGTTTTGCTTTTACATCCCATGGGGTACTGGAAACCCTACCATTATTTGGGTTCTCTTCATTCTGCAAAAAGATAAGAGAGAAATTACTATTTAAATTGCAAATATATCAAGATATAATTGATACACAAATTGTCTTAGAAATAGAGTTATAACGATAGGCAAGTAAGGGTTGGTTATATGAATATTCGTTGTCCATGACATTTTTGGATCTCCTTCATCTTAAAATTGTAATCCTACGCAAATAGGGCTAAAATGATATTTTTGGTGATTCAAACTCACAACCTTCTAAAGTTGGAAGTGAGGGGTGCTTACCATCCGAGCAACTCCCTCTTATCCTACTTATTGTAATTGTTATATTATCGTTATTGTTATTACTAATTTCTTAGAGATCAAGAATTAAAGTGAAAATATTAATAGATAGAAATAAAACAAACCTTGTTGAGGACACCAAGTGAGCGAGCATTACATGCATGAAAAAGAAGGAAAATCATCATGAGAAGAGTAGTGATTTTGGTGATTGACATTTGAAATGAAAATCCCCGTTAATTGGTTCTACTATATATATGTTTGAAGTACTGATTCAAACAAGATGAAATTAAAATTGTTAATTGTTGGTACTTTGCTGAATTTTTGAATGAAGATTGTGCGTACTACCAATATATAAATACTTTAAGCAAGAAAAATGAGCATTAAATGCTGACTATGGAAGAACTTAAAGGGATTTGATAGGAGAACATGCAAATGTAAGGGAGATAGGAGTAAGATGGCAAAATAAAGATATGGGTGGCCTCAAATATGTCTCTTTCAAATATATTGGGTCCCAAACATATAATATACTCTCTTCTTCTCGTCTAATTTATATGAAAATATTTAACTGAACAAGAAATGTTAAAATATTTAGAAATTCATGGTCTGAAATAAGTCATAAATGTTTAGATAGTTATATATAGCAATATGTTTTTTTTTTTCAAAGAAAAAACAAATCGAGTGGGCAAAACGAGAGATACAAAGAAGCAAGAGCCTGTCCGATATTTGTATCGACCAAGGTAATTATTCATTGGCTTTGTCCTCGTATGAAGTTAAAACTATGGTTTTGTGGTTAATAGCTCCTGGTTTCTCGCTTGTTTCCACCATCTGTTATCTTGAAAATCCTTAACAAACATTATTCTATTTAAAGGTACTATGCAAAAAGTGAAAAACCTTTTTACGTACATTGATATATACATATATGTCATCCAACATTTTATATATCGCGTTTATACATGTCCCTAGTTTCTTCCACATGCATGCTTCATATATATATATATATATATAACAGACTGATCAATTAGATATAGGTTCTGTGTCGGAGCCAGGAATTTCATCAAAAGTGTCCAAGAAAAAGGAATTTTTTTATTGCCAGTGAGATTTGAATACATGGGCACTTAGGGCTCTTCCAAAGCATCTAAAAGCACTGGGTTATAACACCTTGTTCTATCAAGAATGTTCAAAATATTTTTTTAATCACCTCATGTATCATTTTACTTATAGTAGCTACGCCCCTGTATAGGTTAAATGGGAATATTTTCATATCATGCTGTTGATATATCCTTGAGGATGCAGGAAGCCTATTTGTATCTGAATAATGAAGGGAGTAAAAAGTTTTATATCGAAATTTGTTTCATTTTATTTTGCTCATATATCAAATATAAATATTTTATTTTACTGATTTATTAAAGAAAATCATGAAGAGAATTTTATGACTACTATTTTTTCATACTATACTTAGTATTAAATGATTACATAAAATAGTACTAGTAGTTAAGCAATTGAAACAGAAGGAGTGCGAAAAAATTAAACATACATATTACAATATATATTTTTAGTGATATAAGTCTTTTCTAAAAAAAAAAAAAAGCATGCAAGATTGACTCAAAGCATAGTCATGAATCATGATGCATTAGAAAGTCTTTGAATTGGTTTTATTAGTCCATCAGGCATTTTAATTTTGTTAGCTAGAGAGCACTTTTAAAATGAATTTAGATTAGTCAGGATCTAATATGAGTATAAGACATTAAACTTAAAAAAAGATAGAATAATAAACAAAGTGGTCGGTAGAGATGTATTTTAATTTGAGACATGAAGATTTTAGCAGTTACCACTACATTTAATGTACATACTAGATGAAACACGTTAACGGGGAAATGATATATGAATAGTCACTGATATTTCATTAATTATCTTTTTGACCGACCTTGAATATAGCTAGGTACATGTACTCTTTGTGTCAATTTATGTGATTTACTTTCCTTTTTAATTGGTCCCAAAAAGAATGACACATTTCTATATTAAGTAACAATTTAACTATAAAATGTCTATTTTATCCTTAATGAAATGATTTACGACCACACAAATTTCTATCATTCATTTTGGACCACAAGTTTTAAAAATCTTTCTTTCTTTCTTAAACTCCGCACCGAGTCAAACTACTTCACATAAAATGGGACAGAGGGAGTAATATTTATGCATTTTGTTACGGAAGAAGAACAAATGTCTTTGCTCGCACCCCTGACACATCAAGTGGTAACACCAACAATTAAAAAATTGGTGTGTCCATCTCTTCAATTTTGATGAATGAATTCACCTAAATCCCTCAGAATGCAAACACCCTACAAACATGTTAGGATTCGTTTGATCACCTATTTGATCGTGATCATTTCTTAATCTTTAGACTCATTAGTTTGTAATTAATTAGTTTGTAATTAAAGTGTTGAAATCACTCCTGAGTTTCTTAAAATCCATCTAAATCATCCAATTAAGTCTCAAATCATCATTCAAATCTATATGAACTTTCAAACCTCGATTTCAAGTCTCAAATCATCATTCAACTAAGATTTTGATCAAGTTATTGAAATATTGACTCTGCCTCTACTAATGGACAATGAATTCGTACAAGGAAAAGAAAAAAGAAAAGAAATAAGGAATATAAATTGGTGTTATGGAGATGGATATTATAGAGACATTGTTGCATGTGCTAGACCCTCCATTGTTACTCTTGGAAGGGACACAAGAGAGTGCACTAACCAACGTTAACGGTCGCACATCCCACGTGGCACCAACATTTGCTGACCAGACTTGCCACGTCTTCACACCCCCACATAGGCCGCCAAAATCCACCAAATGTTTGTTTCATCCCTTTGTTCCTTTTCTTTTGTGTTCTTCTGACTTCTTAATTAAATCTTTTCACATTATAATAAGTGTAATGTAATATATTATAATTAGTTAATTCTTCATGTTGTTATACTATAACAATATATTCACTATAATTTAATAAAATAGGATTTTAAAAAAATAAAAAATACACACATTTTATCACTCTATCAAACTTGAAATTAAAACAAATCAGTTAATTATTGTTCGATCTATAAAACTTAAACTCGTGAAAAAGTAGAAATTTTGAGGGGTGGTTTGGTGGGTGGTCAATAGAGTGACGGCGGGACACTAGTGGGACAGAGGGGATGGGGGGTGGGGGGACTCATGGGACAATGGCGTTGACAAGAGGCTCAAACTCGTGTGTCTTGTTAAAGCTAAGCATTATTCTTGGTTTTCTCAACTTCGTTGTCTACACGGTAACTCCTTTCATTATTTCTCTTTTTTGTATTTTTCCTTTTTTAATACTAACTACTCCTTATTATAATATTGATATTGATGCATGCTCTTTTACTCTCTACCAAATATACTACACTACTAGTACCAACCTACTTTGGTTTGGTGAAAGAATGTTAGTAGTTCTTGCAAGTTGAAATTTAAATCTTACTCATGATCATATGTAGTTCTTGAAACGCTACAATGAGTTTTTCTATTCTCTCACTTTATTTTTACTTATTTAATTTTTAGTTTGATAAAATTTTGATAAAGTGATTATAGTTGTCGTCTCAACAAATTTGAGTTTAAAGTCAAACTTCATAGAGACCTTATTTTTTATAATTGTCATATATAAATAAATAGTAAAAATTATGCAAACCACATATAACATACAAATTACATCATATCCCTTCTCTTTCATAAATTACAGAAATCCCTTTATTTTAATACCTTTCAGATACATAATTGGGAAGCGTGGATACTTTAATTTAGAGATTTCTGTTATCAATTTACTGCGCTAAATTAGGGACTAAAAACAGAAATTATAATTCAATCCCACAAATCAAGCGTACGTTTCTTTCTTCAAACAATCAGTCGTTCACGAAAAGGTAACATAACTGGAAAAATAAAATTTCAAGTTGTCAAATTGTGTCTCCCTGTTCTTCCAAAAAACTGCAGAAGCTTGATCCAAAAAAAATCTGGAGTGGAGAGAAATTGATGGTTCATTCCAGCAAGCCACCCTCTCTACGGCCGAAAGATGCAAAATCCTTGCAAGATTGATGGTCTTCGAACATAGCAGCTACAAGTTTCTATTTTTGTTTCGTTTTTATGGCTGTTTTTTCTTTTTATTTTCTTTTGGTTTGGGATGTTGTTTTGGCTTCTTGAACCTTTGGTGTCAAGGGCGTTTATTATTTTATATTTGGTACAATTGAAGCTATGTAATAGTGTGTTATGCAGTTCCAATGGATTCAATGTCGGACAAAAGTGATTGGTCAGTTTCGGACTGTGTTTTGGAAGAAGTTGTCTTGCCAACAAGATACAAAAGAATGTCCAGTAGATCAACAAAAAAAGGAAGAAAAATCCAGATGAAAAACTAACATCAAACATGAACTATTGTGAGCGATGTGGAGTACTTTGTTTTATCAGATCTAATAATTTTCAAATTATAACATTTCTTTCCACTGTACAAATGTTTACATTAAAAAGTACTTTTAGCTTACTAATTTCTGATTCAATAAATTGAAGTGTTACGTTTTTCAGTTCTGCCTATATTTTTTTATTGTTATTTTTTGATAAAGTGAATCCGGTATACATATTGTGTATTGTTTTGTGTTTGATACAAAGTTATTTTTAAAATATATGTTATATTGGTTAAGTAATTAATGTATATGTAACTGCTAATAAGTACTGAAAATACTGTTACATTGCATTGATTTATTTAACATAATGAATTTGATACTTAATTCTTTAAAAAAAATTGTATCGGATAATATAGTATCAAGTGTTGTGATATATACCGGATAAGAGTTGTGATGTGTATAGGATAAGAGTCATAATGTTAAAAGGTCCTAAATATATTACAAATTTATAGGATTGTAACAATTGTAATTATATAGTATCAGGTTTTGTGAGTCACATCAATTTGTGATTTTGAAAGCATGATAAATAATAATTGTGTATCATATACATAATATATTTTTTGACAAATTTGTATCAGCTTATACACATCAATTTGTGATTTTGAAAGCATGATAAATAATAATTGTGTATCATATACATAATATATTTTTTGACAAAATTGTATCAGCTTATAATATAGTATCAAGTGTAGTCATTTGTACCAAATTTATAAGAGACATAATGTTAAAAGGTACTAAATATATTGAAAATTAATTGATTT